GGGCTCAGGCAATCCACTCACCTCAGCCTCCCAAAGGCGCGGGATTACAGGCTGAGCCACCAAGCCCGGCTCCAACCTTTTTTTAATTACAATAGTTCATATATTTATTCTTAAGCAAGTTATCAATAAAAAATTTAATACTAAAATGCCTTTACATAGAGTCTGCTGTTCATAAAACCTTTGTGTGTTTTTTGTTTGTTTTTAGTGTTTACACTGAAAAAAATCCAACCATCATAGTTGGATAGTAAACCACATTTACAAGAATCATGCTTTTGCCACGTTTAGTCACCGAGAGAGGGGTGGGGTCACGCCATTCGAACGCGCGCACACAGAGAGAAACGAGAAAGGACGAGAGGGACCCGCAGAAGAGGGACAAGAAACAAACAGGTGTCCAGAGCAGGGTCCTTCTTCCTTCGCTCACACATGCCTGGAGACTTGGGATTTAAAACAGCCTGAACTCAGCCGGGCTCGGTGGCTCAGCCTGTAATCCCGCACCTTTGGGAGGCTGAGGTGAGTGGATTGCCTGAGCCCGTGGGTTCGAGACCCACCTGGGCAGCGAGACCTCATCTCTGCAATAAATCAAAAAATCAGCCGGGTGTGGTAGCGCCTGCCTGTAATTCCGGCTACTCGGAAGGCTGAGGCGGAAGGATCGCCGTAGCCCAGCAGGTCGAGGCTGCGGTGGCCAGGAGTGGCCACTGCCCTCCAGTCTGGGCGACCGAGTGAGACTCCAACTCAAAAAAATAAATTAAATAAATAAAAAAATAAATATACAGTTTCAGAAATGTGCCCCAGGTGGCCCAGGCTTGGCCGTGTGGAGCTCCCAGCTCCCTCCCTGGCTACAGCGTCTCACCTGGCCCCAAGCCACACCGCCCGAGGCGCTCAGATACCACCTTGTGGAGATCTGGGCTCCCCTGCTGGCTACACTGATCTGCCCAGCACCCAGCCGCTGCCAGCCCCCTCCCTGGCTGGGGCGCCCAGCCCAGTCTCAGGCCACTGCAGCCCGTGGAGGCCCTCCATGCCCACCCCTCAGAACTACCGGCTCTATCATTGGCTGTAAGGCCCCGTGCATGGTCCAAAGTCGCTGCCAGTGCTCGCCCCTCAGAGCTCCAGGTCCCCACGCTGGGTGAGGTGCCCAGCCCTATCCAAGCTGCTGTCACCCAGGGAGGCCCTAGGCGCAGGCCCCTCGGAGCTCGGGGTCCCCAGCCTGGCTGAGGTGACCAGCCCCATCTCAGGTCGCCGTCGCCCAGGGAGGGTCTATGTGACCACCCCCTGAAGATACTAACTCCATCCCTGGCTGAAGTGCCCTGTGTGCAGCCCAAAGCCGCAGCCACCACCCACCCTTTGGATCTCAGGGTCCCCACTCTGGCTGAGGCACCCAACCCCATCTCAAGCCACCATTGCCCAGGGAAGCTCTAGGCGCCCGCCCCTCAGAGATACCAGCTCCATCCCTGGCTGAAGCGCTCTGCATGCAGCCCAAAGCCACAGTCACCACCTGCCCTTCAGAGCTCTGGGTCCCCACTCTGGCTGAGGCACCCAGCCCCATCTCAAGCCGCCATTGCCCAGGGTGGCCGTGGCACCTGCCCATCCGAGCTATGGGTTGCACCCCTGCCTGGGGAGCCCTGCCAGGCCCAAGGCCACTGCTGACACGCAGGCCCCCAGCACCGACGCCTCTGAGTTCTGGGCCCCCTACTGGGCTGAAGCACCCAGCCCCATCTTCGAGTCCCTGCCCCATGGAGGCCCCTGGCACCCACGTCAGGGCACCTCAGAGCTCCAGGACCCCGCCCAGGTGCCTCAGAGCTCCAGGTCCCCACCCTGCTGAAGCACCCAACCCCACCTTGAGCTACCGTGGCCCACAGAATCCCTACATGCCCGCCCCTCAGAACTATGGACTCCCCCCTGTCTGAAGCACCCACCAGGCACCAAGCCTCTACCGCCCAAGGAGGTCCAAGGCTCCTTCCCCGGGGAGCTCCCGGCTCCCTTGTTGGCTACACCACCCCACCCCTTAGACATCCTGACCACAACGTTGACCAGCAACACCCAGCAGTCTCACACTCCACCTCCCCCAACTTGTCCCTGACCACAGCAGGACCAGGGAACAGTTGGAGCTAGAGACCAGGCAGAGACCTGCATTGCCCCATGAGCTCCACCCAGTTCTGTGTATCCTCTAGCCTGGTACCTAAGAACAAAGAAAAAAAGGTGCAAGCTGCATGTGACATGCCAACCTACTACACTCAGCTGTCTCACACTCCGCCAACACCCTCCAGCTGGATTGGTGGCAGTAGAACCTGGGATCATCTGGAGCCCAGTGACCAAGCAGAGACCTGCAGTGACTCACCTACCCAGCTCTGCCTAACCTCCCACTTGGGAGCTAAGATTTCATGGTTTTATAAGGGAACAGTACATCTTAAGGAGGTTGGTCAGCTTGTGTGTTTGTATGATTATATGTCCTAGTTTGTTTGTTTTTGTCACTGTTTTTTGTTTGTTTGATTGTTGGCTTTATTTTTGTTTTCTCAGACTTCTGTCTTCAGGTCTATTTTCATTTATTATTGGGTACCTCTGTCTGTTCTCCCTTTTACTCTCCTGTCTCCAGCTTCCACTACCCCCTCTCCCTTGTTCATTTCTTTCCCTTTTCTGACATCATTTTACTTCCAGGGAGCAAACCAATACCCCCACTACATGAACAGATTACAAGGCAGTGGGAAACAGGATCCAGTGCATCCATACACCTGTCGGTGGATACTGGGATCTGCAGATAAATTTTGAATCACAGTTCCCCCCACCAAATAAATCTCAAAGCTGCAAAAGGTATAACCCTCAACCTACAGTCCAGTCTCAGAATTGAACAAAGCCAGAGGATTCACATAAGGAAAAAGAGGAGATTGAGCAAACAGAAGCAAAAAGAACCCCACCACTATGAACAACAGATTTAAAGAAGACAGAGGGAGGGGGGAGGAAAGGAAAAAGTGGGGAGGCAGATCTACACAATGAAGAAAAATCAAAAGAAGAAGACAGGTCTCACACAGACCCCTGGGAGATCAGATACTGAGAAACACAGGTCTCACACAGACCCCTGGGAGATCAGATACTGAGAAAACAGACTTTGGAATGCAAACAATGAAGAGCCCCCAGAATGACTGCTCACATGCTACAAATCCAGACATCAAGGCATTAATAGAGAGAACAAAAAGAATTGAGGAGAGACAAGAGGAAAATAGGAAGGAGTTGATAACTGACATAACAGCAGTAAAGATTACTGTGATTGAATAAAATATCAAACTAATAAGCATGGAAAGCAGACTTAGCCAAGCAGAAGACAGAATCTCAGAACTTGAAGACCAAAATATAGAACTAAACCAG